TCAAACAGTTTCATTCGACGCCAGTCGCTAGAAGATAGTAGACTCAACTATGTTGAGCGAGAGTTCCCTCCAACGAGGATGACGGTGTGCCTAGCTACAGCCACAACCGTAATATGAATAAACGTGTATTGGGAATCCTCTACACGCTAGAAGGCAAGCAGTACGATGACGTCTTCATTGTACTGGATTTATACGATAAATTTGATGTCATCCTCGGTCTGCCATGGCTTCGAAAATACCAGCCATGGATCAGCTGGCAGCATCGATCCGTGAAGATTCCTGCCGTTTGTTCATCAGATGGCCATCTGATAAACGTCTTGGAGCGTCCAAAGGCGTGTGGATGTACTACGAGTGAGTGCGGTGGCCTCACTTGTGGTACGATCGTTAGTATGACTGCACAAGATAATAGTGTAAAAGGCCACTACACTGTGAAACCAGCTTCCGGCACCTGTGTAGAGACACAAGCGACGCTGAAGGTTCACCACTCGAAGAGATTGAGTGGACTGGAACACGGATGCACACCAAGAAGGGTGCATGCAAGAAGACAACTTAGTGTTGTTCAGGATGATAAACATGTTACAGCGAGGTCGACTAACATAGAGTCGATCGTAGAGCAAGCCCGCTCGACTGAAAGAGAGTCAATCGAAGAGGACGTGACTGTGGTAGTACAACCACAGTCAGTACACGTATTGGAAGAAAGTTCCAGCGTTCCTAATAGTGATAACTCCCGAGAGAGTTATGTTGAGGGTGTGGATCCCCAACCGCCTGCGGATGTGTTTTCCCAGGAATCACCGAGACATCTAATGCCTTGGTGAATGACGAATCAAGTGTAGACGCTTACACACTTGATCTGGTTACACCTCCGAAGTCAGCTTCGGAGGTGATCAAGTTGCCAACGCTAGAATCCAGAAGATTCTTGCGAGATCTGCGTAGTGACAAGATCAAGCAGATCTGCGTACTCGTCACAGAGGATTTGTTCGTCGCCGATATTCGGTCGGCACAAGTGTTTGCTGAGAACGAACGGGTTCTCAGTATCTCATCGATGGATGAGAGTGTCCTCGATGAGAAGACCCGGATTGAGCGATACACGTCTCAATCTTGGGAGTCTTTCAAGACAAATCCTTTGTACAAGAATTTGGTTGAATTCAGGGATGTTTTCCTAAATTCATGCCATGCGAGTTGCCTAAGGACAAAGGCACTCGGCATGAAATCGAACCGAAACCCGGTTCGAAATACTGTGTCATGAAGCAGTGGCCACTGCCTCGTGAACAGGTCACAGCGATCGACAAATTCTATGCCGATTGCTTAGCGGCTGGTCGTGTGAGGGAATCAACATCCTCACACAGATCTCCGAGCTTCTGTGTGCGAAAGGCCACAGGAGGGTAACGGATAGTGCACGCGTTCAACAAATTAAACGCTGCAACGGTACCGGCTCAAACGCCGATCCCAAGGAAGGACGTCATCATTGATGGTACAGCAAAAGTGCCATTTTTGTCCGCAGATCTGATGAATGGATTCTATCAGATCCTCATGCGTGAACGGGACATCCTGTACACAGCAGTGAGCAACCTTAGTGTACATAGAATTAACGTCCGGAAGGTTCTTACACTTATGCGAGAGCACGAGTTGTTTGCGAACCTCAAGAAGTGTATATTCGCAGCGAACGAAATACCACTTCTTGGTTGCATCGTGGGTAAAAACGGCGAGCGCCCTGACCCAGAGAAGATCAAGGATATTAGCGACTGGCCTGTGCAGTGGAAGTAAAGGGACTTCAGAACGTTTTGGCTTAGCGGCGTACTTGCTTGAGCACTCGCGCGACTACGCCGAGATGACCGTTCATCTCTCTCGTCTGCTAAAGAAAAACGAGAGGTGGTCGTGGAATAAGGAGTGTCAGCAATCCTTCGAAGGTATCAAAAAGAAGCTTGACACAATCGCCTGTGTTGGCAATCGCAGATCAGGACAGACAACTACATGTTCTCTGTGACGCCAGCAATTTTGCAATCGGCTGCGCGTTAATGCAGTAAGACTCAGACGGCGTTGAGCGCGTCGTCTGTTTTCAATTGCGTCAGCTGCAAGCAGCTGAGCATAATTACCCAGTGCATGACAAGGAGCTCCTAGCTATGAAATATGCACTGGCTAAATTGGGGTATATCTCGCAAGAGATAGGCCCTTCAGCGTTTATAACTACCATGCGTCGTTATGCACGGCCGTAAACAGTCCCACCTCTCGCAACGGATGGCGAGGTAGCTGTCTTTCTTCGCGGAGTACAACTCGAGTATAAACCAGGACGACTTAATGTCATCGCTGATGCTCTTTCGCGTCGGCCCTATTTCGATCCGATTACTCCCAACCCAACAGTAAGGGTGATCCCACTGTTGCAACACTATCAGCGAGTCTTCCGTATTCGAATTTGCTCGACGTCCTGCAGAAAGCATACGCAGAAGATGAGCCTCTTCTGCTGTTGATGGATTATGTATCCAATCCATGCAGTCAATCTTTGAAAAGCGTGTCGTTTCAATAACACGCTTCAACCGAACGGTATTCTGTTCGTGATGGACTGCTGTACTATACAGCAGCCAACGGACACACACCTCGTCTCGTCGTTCCCGCTCATATTGATTTGCAATTGCGCATCATGTATGAGTGTCACGATGCCTCTAACAAGTGGGCATCACGGTAGAGAAAAGACTTACCTCGCGGTAAGTCTTGACTTCTACTGGCCCCGCCAGTATGAATTGGTGCGCAAACACATTCGCGCTTGCGAAGCTGTAAACGGTGAAGCATAGTACTTCATTCTGTGCACCCTTGCAGTCTCTACCGATTACGGCAGAGTGCTGGCAGTCCGTATCGATGGACTTCGTCTTTGGGTTTCCCAAAGACGCTCACACGAATACCGGTATTCTTGTGTTATTTGATCGGTTCGGAAGGATGGTACATCTTGTTCCCGGAGTCAATCACACCCCAGGGCTGTGCTCGTGTCTTCATCGATACTACCTTCCGACTTCACGGTTTACCCCGTGAACTCGTGTCTGATACGGACCCCCGCTTCACAGCAAAGTTCTGGCGATCCGTTCAAGTGGAACACGTTTAAAATGTCGATTTCTGACCATCCAGAAACAGATGGTCAGACGGAACGCGTCAACCGCATCCAGAAGAGATACTTCGAGAGTACGTCCACTCGTTTACGAGTTGGAGTGAATTCTTGCCAATGGCGGAACTCACCATCAACAACAAGGTGCATGCGCCGAAAACGCATCTTCGTAAATGGCCTACGTTATACCCGTTTACCCACCTTTTTAGAGTATGACTCTAGTGGCAGGGGGGGCGGACTCGTTAAAAAAACGATCTGTTTCTTTCTCATTTCACGCCGACAATGATGTCGACGTGAAGGATGACGATATCGATCACATCGACACCGACGCTGACAATGACGACGATGCTGGCATATTCAGCATCGCCAATGACCGCCAAAGTGAGGACGATGATACACTTACTGGTGAAGGCAACGTTCTTTCAGCAGTGCGCACGAAGCGCACTGCTGTTGACAAGGATGAATCAGCAGAGGAATTTCTGCTGACTCGCGAAGCGGTTGTCTGCTTCGTTCAAGACTCTATTGCAGATGCATTGGACAGACAGAAAAGAAACGCAGACAAACATGGGAGAGTAAATTTTCTCTCATTTGATGAAGGAGATTTAGTTTTACTATCCACAAACACGCTGTGACAAAAGTGAGCAGCAGTAAACTACTGCCCAAGTACATCGGTCCAGTTCATGTGTTGCGCCGAATGGGCAACGCATACATTATTGAATCTCCCCGTGAGATTCGTGCGCAGCCAACGTTTTACGTCGGTCGTCTCCGCTCGTACTATCAGTACGAGCCCGTTTCGAGAGGAGAAGAACACCTGTGCGGTCAAAGGCCGAGACCACCTTCGAGTGGTCCCGTTTCAAACGAGCCAGTCTGGTCGACTAGCGAATCGACCTGCTTACTCAGTTGAGCGATGCCCTGACGAGCCGCAGTCAGCTCGTCACGAAAAGAACGAACCGGACGTTCGTTCTCAACTTGTGCAAAATCAAACGCGGCACGATCGTCCGAACGATCGTGCGCTAAGGAATTGTAATTGTCCCTTACAATTTCATGAAGCTCATAACGCCGAGTCAGTTCATGAACCAGGTTATCGTGTGACTGTTCCGTTACACGTTTCAGTTCCTGACCATCAAGCTGATCCGACCCTCGAGCCAAATCAGGTGTTCATGCCACCACCACATCCTTTGGTGGCGGATTCTTGCGGTGGTCAACGCTTTCTAATGAAGCGTATTTTGAACCACCACGACGTGAATGGCGTCCGGACGAGTTACCTCGTCTGCTGGGCGTGGCTATCCTCCAGCCTGGGACAGCTGAGAGCCTCGTACCCAGCTGATTGTTGATGCCCTGGGTCTAATCGAGCAACATGACGAGACCCACCCGCTGCGTTCGAATAAGGGCCGTCTGAAAACGACCTCCCCGAACGCGAGTAGATAAATTGCAAAGTGTCAATCCCTTTGGACATCTCCGAATGATCACCCTCCAGTAGGGAACAATAGGGAGGAAGGCCTCCCTAGGGGCACGGTTCGAGTTATCCAGGCAATCTGGACATGAATCACCCCACGAGACATGGCATACATACCTCTCTTGACAGTCTGTGCAACTAATATCACACCCCGACTGGGTCACGTTTTTTAAACCTCATGCGAGCTGTATCAAGTTTACCGAGCCAAGCCTCACGGCCAGTGCAATCAATGCTATGGATGAGGGCATTCCATCCTTGCACCTTACCGTCTCGACCACGGTTGCCATTGTACCACCGATGTTTGAAAAATGCATCGGTGAAGGATTCGTTCTCAGCACGGATAGCTTTCGTGCTGGAAATAGGTGGGCAACTCTTCCTACAGTCGAACAATGGGATTCGATCCCGCTCGGTAGTTATAGAGGCTAACCGGCTCAACTCGTTGGATGAAGGCATTCAAGGAGACTCCACTTGAGGAGTGTGGCGCAGAACACTTCGATCTCTAGCCTCTTGATTAGTGTCAGCATGAGCAATGATACTAGTGGCAGCTCTATCGCTCGAGATACTCCGCTCGTAGTGATGCTCAGACGTATCGCCACCATCACCACGCGTTTTATCGTTGGATGGACTCGCGTGAGGCGAGCTTCGTCGGAGCAATCGCTCGATTCCGAAGAACTCGAGCATGATGCCGCCACGTTGACCAGAGCCAGTCAACCTGGCTCTTGCAGTGTCCGCTCCGGGTGATCCGGAGGTGTAAGGTGTCGCCTTCGAGTCCGATACATCATCCGACTCGCCAGAATTGATGAGCTCTATTTCAAAATCATCTTGACTACGATTCGCAGTACCCGCTGCAGACGCAGCGGGTGTACCTGTCTCACGTGATAACTCACCACGTGGACTGTTCCCAGAAGCAGAGGACGAATCACCTGCTGCTGAGGTGTGAGAAGTACTGTCGCCGGTTGCACGCCTGCGTGCAGCCACCTTTCTTGCTGCTGCAGTAGCAACTCGCTTGGGTTCTGAAACCATGCGTTGGATTGGCAAATGAATGGGAGTTGACCAACAAGTGCTCCTTTTCCCAGAGTGATCCAACGGTGGTCACCCTGTCCCGATTAATTCTAATATAATCAACGGGTGATTGATGGTTGAGGGAAGGGTGATGTAATGAGGTGGCCCTTTACATGAAATTGACGCCAAACGGTGTCAATGGGGAGATTGTCTAGCGTGACAACATTCTATCAATATTATCCGAGAGAGATGAATTTTTGAAGAAATGTAATTTCCTTATATGATAGTATGCATGCGCTGCTCAAAGATTGGTTGATATAAGACATTTCAACCATAGATTGCCACCAATCGCTGTTAGACGCGCGTAACGAGTGGTGAGCAGGTTGTCATTATACGACAATGTAGTTTAACGTAGTAAGATAAAGATTAAAGTCATATTGATAGCTTAACTGTATCAAATACAGTTCTTTTTTACCCTTTAATAAACCTAGTGGTTTGAGTAGATTCACCTTCCTCTGCACGTACTAGTGTAAGCGAAGTTTCTTGGCACCCAAACAAAGGTTGTAGCGGATCTACACAGCTCTTTAAGTCAGAGGAATACTTAATTTACGAGCCAACGGCTTACGGCTGACTACAGCCTATTAGTTTTACAGAACTATTATATCAAGTTAAAGATTCGCTCAGTTCTACGGAACTCGGGTGGACTCTACGAGCTAACAGCTCAACTACTGTTTAGTTCTAGAGAAGCACAAGCACAATGTGCAGGGGAATAGGAGTCTAAGGACTCTCTAAGCTACGTCAGTTCTAAGGAACTGCAGGGCATAATGTGCGAAAGGGGGGAGTCTAGGGACTTCTGCTCAAAATGAGAACTGAACTTTATTTAGATTTTATATCAAGAAACATCCTACTTTAAGTACCCTATGTTATACTAAAATAGAACTAGTACAAATGTTAGTATTCGAACTGAATGGATGGTTGGAACATCACTCAGTCATCAAATGATGACGGTACAAAGTACGTACACGGTAAGTACCGTAAACCTGGGAATATCGATCAATCGATATTCTCTTGCTGATATAAAATCTAAGGTCACACACATTCATCCATTTCATTTATGGGAGGTCTTTGACCAATTTAGCCGAAGGCTAGTGTGACCCCGTTACACCCTCCCCCACCAGACTGACGTTACCACAAACGTCACTCGACTCATTCTCCCGTTGAGAATTGTCACAAAGTAACGCACTCACGTGGACCGACCAGGGCACCTCCTGGAAGATGAGGCTCTAGACGAATTTCTTGGTGTAGAGGATGTGGACTATCATAGTGATAGTGATACCAAAGTCGAGGGGGAGGAGTAATCCAAATCCAGCACACCTGTTCGTGGGGACGTATCCCACCCGGCACCTAATTCTTTCCCGAAGGTAGTGCCGCGACTGCGCTAACAGCGCTGGCGGCAATGTCCCCCAATGAGTACATCCATTACCACTAAATCGCTTAATGAAGAGCAACAACGCATGCTCTATCAAGCGGCAAGCGCACGGCACAAGTCAGAAGTTCAGACATAGTTGCAACGACACAGTGAAAGTACGTTCGCTCCACCTCGCGTGGAAGAACTGATTTGTCAAGCGTCACGCTGTACTTTGGCAACATGGGCCACCGGCCCCGAGGCCAAAACGCCCACTGAAATTGAATGCTGCAAGGCTCTTCGAGAGAGGTACTTGGAACCTACTGTGATGACTTTATGACAATACAGAGAGCGGATGCATAAGCAGGCCCAAGGAACACCGGTTCCACAAATTAGGGGTATCCCCATCATTAGGCTCAAATATGGGGGTCGAAATAGCGGGGGACAAAATTTTCTTAGGCTGGGTGCATGGCGTTCGACGCCCCAGTAGCACGCACGCGCTACGCGAAAGTGCCAGTGTGGCAGACATTCGTCTATAGCAAAAGCTTCGCTATGACTCTGCGAAGTTACAAGCAAAAGGCCGTCTACGGGGGGTATTACGCTCCCTCTATGCTTCTGCTGCCTCTGCAGCCGCAAGTTCACGTCAATCTATTGACACGAAATCGACTGCTCTCACTACGAAGAGTGAGAAGCGTGAAGCTCGTCAAAACGAGCTCGGCCGCGGCGCTCAAAACGTCAATGGCGTATGGGCAGTCTGTTAAAAAATTACGTTTGAATCAAAAAAAAATTTTTAAAGAAAATACAACTTTACCAACCTTGCCGAAGGGGAATCTCATGCACCCATGCGTTTTCAGAATCATGCACACACGCCACTTCAAAAGATATTAATATTGACCAGGACGACGACGTTGTTGAAGTACCCGATCCACATAGAACTATAAGTTCCCTTGCTGATTAAGCAACGCCGATGGCGGTCGGAGTATCGGCTGAAAGCCATGCTGAGTTGGTGAAGAAAGTGGAGGATCTCCGTGATCTTTTAAGTCAGACTCAGAACGCCTTTAGAGAAGCCCGATCTCGTCTGGCGACGTTCGAAGGCGATTGCGCCCGTCTTCAGATGATAAGGTCACGTCAGACTCGTGTCGAGGCTTAATTTGACGTCTTAATTAGGATGCAACATCATCTGGCAACGCCAATGTACGCGGCGCAAGCGCCATTAAGTCAACATGGGACGGGCCCGGTATGGCTTGCGCAGGCCGACAAAAAAGGAGGGATGCGTACGCAATTTGCGCGGCAAGCTAAGCGTGTACGCGCGGCCCTTCTTGTCCACGACCGTAAAAGGTCCAATGAAGCGCGGACGTCACTTCGTGTTGAGAACAGCTGACACTACATTTGTGGGTAAATTTTTAGCGTTTAGCAAGACTTGGTATCCAACCTCATAACGTTTAATACAATTCTTCCTTTGGCATCTACTTGTTCCTTTTGTTTATCTTGGCTATCAGCCATTGCGTCTCGCACATACCGTGATACATTCAGCCTTGTTACAAGGAACTCACCAACCCGTTTCTGAACAGTGGCAGGGCTGACATCAGCAAGCCTATCGGCAATCCCTTCCCCACCAAGCCTTGAACCACGGAGTGGTAGCGTCATGGGACGCGCGGATGGGTGAGGCCGCTCACATAAAAAGGGGTGTAGCCAGTCGAGGCATGGACCGAATCGTTCATGACAGATTTGACCACCGGAAAAAACTAGCTCCAACCCCCGAGGCGTATCTGCGCAAACGCTGTGCAGAACGTCTCCATTGACACAATCAACTCGTTCAGTTTGACCATCGGTCCGCGGATGATCCGCGGTGGACATGTACAATCTGTTTCCGAGCACCTTGAAGATGGACTTTCAAAACTTTCCAGTGAAGCGGGGATCTTTATCAGATACAACTGTCACAGGCAGTCCATTTTGTCGAAACACACGATCGAGAAACAGCTTCGCTGTACCTTCAGCATCGGCCGTATCCGGCACAGCCGCTAAATGAGTCATCTTACTCAAACGGTCAACGAAGACCACAATGCCAGTGTTGCCGTCCAAATCTGTTGGTAAACCAAACACAAAGTCCATACTGATGGATTCCCAACAACCCGTGGGTATAGGCAAACTCGCCAAAGGCGCAGTTGCATGAGCGGAGGGTTTGACCCGTTGACACATTTCACACTTACGCACATATGTGCGCACCCACTTATAAAGTTTGGGCCACCAATAGTGTGGGCCACCAATAGTTTTTCGATTATTATAATCGAAAAAATAATATTTATTATATATTAGGTGAAAAATAGGTCTTCTCTTGACCGAGATGACCGCTCAAAGCTGTATTATGCGCCTCAAAGAGGATACGATACTTCAATTCCATTTCATGAGGTACTACGATGCGCGAAGTATCCGCCGCATCCGTGCTATGTCACAAGAGGCCATTATCGACAGAATATCGATGTAGCCCTGCACGCAAGCGTGCCGACAATAAAATGTCCGGGTCTTTAAACTCATCACAACCGAGTGCGCGTTACAACGCGACACAGTGATCATCCTTAGCATAAGACGCACGGACTAAATTAGGGATAAAAGACTACAGAGTCGTAACACGAGCAAGCTCATAATCCGTCCTGCGTGATAACGCATCGGCCAAAGCGTTTGGCTTGTCCAGCTGACACTTCACCTCGAAGTAATACTCAGCAAAGAATGAAAGCCAACGGGCCATACATTGCGAGAGATGAGGCAACTGGGTCGCAGTGCTCAATGACGCATGATCCGTGTAGATTACAAACGTCTTGGGGCCAAGCAGATGTACCTTGAACTTGACAAGAGCATACTTCATTGCAAGAACTCCTTGTCATGAACTGGACAGTTCTTTTCAAAAGCTTTTAGCTGGCGAGACTCAAACGCAATGACGCGCTTATGTCCATCGACCGCCGTTTGCAACAATGCACTGCCAATGGCAAAATCAGACGCGTCACAGACGACTCTTAAGGGCCACTCAGGGTCAGGCAGAGCTAAAATTGGAGCATGAAGGAGTCTGTATTTTTTAGATTTTAAAGATTGAGCATGGACTGCGTCCCAAAACCAAACTGCATCCTTTTGAGGAGGTTGGTTTAGGGCCTCGCCATTTCAGCATAGTTTGGACTATACATGTGAAAGTAATCAACTAAACTAATCCATTTACGCAAGTCTTCTGGTTTGACAGAACCGGCCATCCCAACAATAGATTTTTGCCTCAGCGGGATCTGCCCGTAGGCCGCGCTTTTCAAGGAAGCACCCTTGAAAAGAGATTTCTGTAGCTTAAAAAATGCATTTACATGCATTTGTATACAACTGGTTGATGCACGTACACCCGAGAACTGCTCGTAAATGATTAATGTGATTTTCCACATCTGATCTTCTTTGTTCTGCACGGCTATGGACAAAAATGTCATCAAAATAGCTTTGTGCATATCCGCTATGAAGGCTAAACAACTACATCACGAGACGATTAAAGGTTGCGGGGAATTAGAAAGTCCCTGAGGCATAACAAGCCACTCCCAAAGCATGCCAACTCGGCTTGCTAACCGCTGTGAGCCGGATTATACTCGCT